CAAGTCTGAGACCCTTAGAATCTCAAAGTTTTTAGAATTTTAAAATCTTAACATCTACTCATCGGACTTACAGGAAAGGGAAGTGACAGAAACCCTCATGTCTTTGAATCTTCAGATGTTACAATCTTAAAATATGAAATTCCTAAATTCTCAAAATCTTAAAATCTCAGAATCTTAAAAGCTTCAAAAACTTAAATTCTTTAAATCTCGAACTATTGCAATCTGAAAATCTTAAATTCATAAACAAGTAAAATATAATAAAATTCCTTCAATCCGGGCTATATTCTAAATTCCTTAAACTCTTAATCTTCAAATTTTGAAGTCTTGACATCTTAAGATCTTAAAATCTTAAATTCCGAAAGTCGCCAAATCTGAAAATCTCACAAAAAATACAATCTTAAAGCCTTGGATGGAAAATGGCTGGGCAATGGCCTGGCTGTTATAACCTTCAAAAACCTTAAATCTTTGAATCTTAAAACCTTAATTCTTCAACCATTGAAACCTTAAATTCCGAAAGTCTTCAAATCTGACCCTTAGAATCTCAAAGTTTTTAGAATTTTAAGATCTTAACATCTACTCATCGGACTTACAGGAAAGGGAAGTGACAGAACGGGCAGGGCAAGGTGCCCGGTGGCCGGCTGTGTCGCGTCAGCGTGTAAATCCGGCCACCGGACGTGATCGGGCCGCAGGCCTAAGCCCGGAGGGCTTACCTTCAGGTATAAGGCCGCGCGCCCCATGCCGCGCGGACCATGCGCATACGTTTTGCGCTGGGCCCGCCCTTATGAAGGGCAAAGGATTCGCGGATTGGTTTAGTAGCATCTCCCCGCAGCGCCCAAAAACGAGTCCAAAACGAGTATTTTTAGGGGGTGCCTAATACTGGACAACATTCCTAGTATTACTAGCATTATCCCGGATGATCCGAATGATGCTATGCATGCTGGCGATGCAAAACGGGAAATTGCAGAAAAGGAGTGACTCGAAGTGAGCAAAATGCAAGTGCAGAACGCGAAGGGAACCGGAGAACGGTAACGAAAAGAAACTGATTGGAATTCTGGGAAACGAAGAGACATTGAAGAGAAATGAAGGGATGTGCAGGAAAGTGACGTGAAATGGGAAGCGAAGTTGAAGTCGCGGGAACTACCTTGTTCTCAGGGAGGAATGCGAATGAAGGGCGTTCAAGGAAATGAAGGGAGCTGAAGCGGAAATGAAGCAAAAGGAAGTGAGGCGAAATGCCAGGAAGGGAAGACATGCAAAGGAAGCAAAGTTCACATCCCGGAAGCTAACGGGAATTCAAGGAAAAGGAAATAAAAGAATGGGAAGGGCAAGGTGCCCGGTGGCCGGCTGTGTCGTGTCAGCGTGTAAATCCGGCCACCGGACGTGATCGGGCCGCAGGCCAAGCCCGCAGGGCTTACCTTCAGGTATAAGGCCGTGCGCCCCATGCCGCCGACCATGCGCATACGTTTTGCGCTGGGCCCGCCCTTATAAAGGGCAAAGGATTCGCGGATTGGTTTAGGCGATTTTTGTAGCATCTCCCCGCAGCGCCCAAAAACGAGTCTTTTTAGGGGGTGCCTAATGTTTTGAACTTTGCTTCCTTTGCATGTCTTCCCTGCATGTCCGACAAATTCTGGCATTTCCCTTCACTTCCTTTTCCTTGAGCGCCCCTTCATTCGCATTCCTTTCCCTTAGATTATTGTAGTTCCCGCGACTCCAACCTCGCTTCCCATGTCACGTCACTTCCCGCACATCTCTTCAATTCTCTTCGTTTCCCATAATTTCACGGTTTCTTTTCGTTACCGTTCTCCGGTTCCCTTCGCGTTCTGCCCTTGCATTTTGCTCACTTCCAGTCACTCCTTTTTCTGCAATTTTCAGCCCCTTGTTTCGCATCGCCAGCATGCGTAACATCATCCGCATCATCCGGGATGATGCTGGCAATGCTGGGGGCGTTGTCCAGTAAATACAAGAACGGGAAGGCGGCCAAGCTCGCAGGGCTTACCTTCAGGTATAAGGCCGTCCGCCCCATGCCGCCGACCATGCGCGGACCATGCGCGGACCATGAGCACACGTTTTGCGCTGGGCCCGCCCTTATCAGGGGCGAAGGATTCGCGGATTGGTTTAGGCGATGTTTGTAGCATCTCCCCGCAGCGCCCAAAAACGAGTCAAAAACGAGTATTTTTAGGGGGTGACAACACCCCCAGTATTGCCAGCATCATCCCGGATGAAGCTGATGATGTTGCGCATGCTGGCGATGCGAAACAAGGGGCTGGTTCTTGCAGAGAGCGAAGGGGAAATGCAAGGAAACTGGAATGACTGGAAGAGAGCGAAATGGTAGCGAAAGGAATTGCACGAACACGACGAACATGAAGAGCTGGAGAGAAACCAAAATGCAGGAAAACAGAACGCGAAGGGAAGCGGAGGACGGGAACGAAAATAAATTGTTGGAAATTATTGGAAACGAAGAGAAACTGAAGAGAACTGAAGGGATGTGCAGGCGTGAAATGGGAGGCAAGGCTGAAGTCACGGGAGCTAAAAAGAACAAAGGGAAAGGAATGCGAACGAAGGGGCGTTTAAGGAAATGAAGGGAGCTGACACGGACATGAAGCGAAAGGAAGTGAAGGGAAATGCCAGGAAACTGTCGGACATGACATGCAAAGGAAATGAAGTTCAAATCTCGGGAACTAGCGGGAACTAAAGGAAAAGAAGGTGTACGGTGGCCGGCTGTGTCGCATCAGCGTGTAAATCCGGCCACCGGACGTGATCGGGCCGCAGGCCAAGCCCGCAGGGCTTACCTTCAGGTATAAGGCCGTCCGCCCCATGCCGCCGACCACGCACCATGCGCGGACCATGGGCATACGTTTTGCGCTGGGCCCGCCCTTATAAGGGGCGAAGGATTCGCGGATTGGTTTAAGCGATTTTCGAGGATTTTTATAGCATCTCCTCGCAGAGTCACAAAACGAGCACTTTTTGGGGGGTGCCTAATTCTGGACAACACCCCCAGCACTGCCAGCATCATCCTGGATGATGCGGATGATGTTACGCATGCTGGCGATGCGAAACAAGGGGCTAAAAATTGCAGAAAAGGAGTGACTGGAAGTGAGCAAAATGCAAGTGCAGAACGCGAAGGGAACCGGAATGGAAAACGAAGAGAAATTGGAGAGAAATGAAGGGATGTGCAGGAAAGTGACGTGAAATGGGAAGCGAGGTTGAAGTCGCGGGAACTACAATGAACTAAGGGAAAGGAATGCGAATGAAGGGCGTTCAAGGAAATGAAGGGAGCTGAAGCGGAAATGAAGCGAAAGGAAGTGAAGGGAAATGCCAGGAAGGGAAGACATGCAAAGGAAGCAAAGCATTCAAGGAAAAGGAAATACAAGAACGGGAAGGGCAAGGTGTTCAGTGGCCGGCTGTGCCGCGTCAGCGTGTAAATCCGGCCACCGGGCGTGATCGGGCCCGCAGGGCTTACCTTCAGGTATAAGGCTGTCCGCCCCATGCCGCCGACCATGAGCAGACCATGCGCATACGTTTTGCGCTGGGCCCGCCCTTATCAGGGGCGAAGGATATCTCCCCGCGGCGCCCAAAAACAAGTGTTTTTGGGGGTGCCTAATACTGGACAACACCCCCAGCATTGCCAGCATCATCCCGGATGATGCGTATGATGCTATGCATGCTGGCAAGGGGCTGAAAATTGCAGAAAGCGAAGGGGAAATGCAAGGGAAACAGCATGAAGAAGGCACTGGAGAGGAGCCAAAATGCGCGAAGGGAACCGGAGGATGGGAACGAAAAGAAATTGTTGCGAAGAGAAACTGAAGAGAAATGAAGAGATGAAAAGAACTAAAGAAGGGGCGTTCAAGGAAATGAAGGGAGCTGACATGAGCGAAAGGAAGTGAAGGGAAATGCGCCCTTACGGGCCCTTATAAGGGGCGAAGGATTTGTAGATTGGTTTCGAGGATTTTTGTAGCATCTCCCCGCAGAGTCGCAAAACGAGCACTTTTTGTGGGGTGCCTATACTGGACAACACCCCCAGCATTGCCAGCTGATGCTCTGCCTGCTGGCGATGCGAAACAAGGGGCTGACTGGAAGTGAGCAAAATGCAAGGGCAGAACGCGAAGGGAACCGGAGAACTGATTGAAATTATGGGAAACGAAGAGAAAATGAAGAGAATGAAGGGATGTGCAGGAAAGTGACGTGAAATGGGAAGCGAGGGAAAGGAATGCGAATGAAGGGCGTTCAAGGAAATGAAGGGAGCTGAAGCGGAAATGAAGCGAAAGGAAGTGAAGGGAAATGCCAGGAATTTGTCGGACATGCGGGGAAGACATGCAAAGGAAGCAAAGTTCAAATCCCGGAAGCTAACGGGAATTCAAGGAAAAGGAAATAAAAGAATGGGAAGGGAATGGGAAGGGCAAGGTGCCCGGTGGCCGGCTGTGTCGCGTCAGCGTGGAAATCCGGCCTCGCCGTGCAATTTTGCCTACAGGGGCGCACGCCTAGGCTTTGCCTTCCGACTGACGGTCGCTGCCGCCGACCCCTCGCATCGTCTGC